TCACCCTGCTGATTGAATCTGGAGGTTAATTCTATTGTAGTTCCAGCTGTCATCCCGAGAACCTGGGGAGGCAGGCGCACAGGGCTACGTGCCTCAGCCTCTCTTTCATAGAAACGTGTATGAGAGTAATAATTCATCTTTCGCTCAGGATCTGCCGGTCACCCCAGCAGGATACCAGGAAGGTGGAACCACCAGGCCCCACAGGACACCTATTACATAAGACCATACCAAAACCAGGAGACGTAGACACAAACACAAGGAGGCAGACAAATTAAGAAGAAACATGCCCCAAATGAAAGAAAAAAAAAAAAAAAATTTCCAGAATTAAACAAAATGGAGACTGACAATCTATCAGATACAGAGTTCAAAACACTGGTTATAGCCCTAACTGGTTTGGCTCAGTGGATAGAGCATTGACCTGTGGACTGAAGGATCCCATGTTGGGTCTACGGCCATACCACCCTGAACGCGCCCAATCTCGTCTGAAGGATCCCATGTTGGATTCCGGTCAGGGGCATGTACTGTGGTTGCAGACACATCCCCAGTAGGGGTGTGCAGGAGGCAGGTGATCGATGTTTCTCTCTCCCCGATGTTTCTAACTCTATCCCTCTCCAGTCCTCTCTGTAAAAATCAATAAAATATATTAAAAAATTATAAAGCTGCTTAATGACCTCAGTGAGAACTTTAACAAGATTGGACCTATAAAAATGTAGAAAACATAAAGAACCAGTCAGAAATGAAGAATGCATTGGAGAATGTCAACAGTAGATTAGACAAAAAAGAAGATTGAATCAGTGATTTGGAATATAAGCATACATAAAAATATCCAATCAAAACAGCAAAAAGAAAAAAAAAAGTTTTAAAGAAAGAATAATTTAAGGGGCCTCTGGGACAACATCAAGGGTCCAAACGTTCACCTCACAGGGGTGCCAAAAGGAGAAGAAACAGCAATGGGTTAAAAACCAACGGGGGGAATAATGATGGAAAACTGCCCTAAACTGGTGAAGGAAATAGTCATACAAATCCAGTAACTACAGAATTCCAAACAAGATGAACCCAGAGGGCCCACACTAAGACATACCATAATTAAAACGCCAAAAAGAGAGAATCTTAAAAGCAGCAAGAGAAAAGCAGCTAGTTACCTACAAAGGAAGTTCCCATAAGACTGTCAGCCAATTTCTCAACAGAAACTTTGCAGGCCAGAAGGGTTGGCACAAAATATTCACAGTGATGAAAAGCAAGGATCTATGACCAAATTTGCTTTACCCAGCAAGGCTATCATTTAGAATTGAAGGGCAGATAAAGAGCTTCCCAGACAACAACAAAAAGCTAAAGGTGTTCATCATCACAAACCAGTATTACATGAAATGTTAGAGACAAGGATGAGGAGGAGGAGAAGGTGGAGGATGAAAAGGAGATGAAAAAAAGATAAATATTGATAATAAAATGGCAATAACTTTTTACCCATCAATAATTACTTTAAATGTAAATGGACTAAATGACAGAAGGTGTGCCCCAGCTGATTTGGCTCATTGGCCTGCAGACTGAAGGGTCCCGGGTTTGATTTCAGTCTAGGGCACATGCCAGGGTTGTGGGCTCAATCCCCAGTAAGGGATGTGAAGGAAGCAGCTGATCAATGAATTCTCTCTCATCACTGATGTTTCCATCTCTCTCTCCATCTCCCTTCCTCTCTGAAATCAACACACACACACACACACACACACACACATATCTATAATCTATATCTATATCTATATAGAGAGAGACAGATATAAAGTGGCTGAAAAGATAAAGGAATAAGACATTTACAAATTCTGTCTTTAAGAGATCCACTTCAGATTGAAAGAGACATACAGATGGAATGTAAAGGGATTGAAAAAGATATTTCATGCAAATGGAAATGTGAAAGAAAAGCTTGAGTATCAATATTTATAGCACATGAAATAGACCTTAAAACTAGGGCTATAATAAGAGTTAAAGAACTCAGCAATTCCTTTTCTGGGTATTTATTCAAAGAAACCTAAAACACTAATTAAAAAAGACATATGCATCTGTATGTTTACTGCAGCATTATTTACAATAGCCAAGATACACAAAAAAAGAAATTCTAAGTGTCCATCAATAAAAGTAAACAAATCGCTAAAGAAGATCATGTGTGAATGATATGTCATGTGTGAATCTTGCCATTTGCGACAACATGGATGAACTTAGAGATGTTATGCTAAGCGAAATAAGTCAGGCAGAGAAACGTATATACCATCTAATTTCACTTACACATGGAATCTATCTATGTATACCTATAATAATAATAAAAGCTAACGTGCAAATCAGTTGAACGACTAAACAGCAGAACAACCATCCGGATGACATTCCAGATGACCACCTATGACACCTAGTGCCAGGACAGCCAAGGCGGGTACGATGCAATTGCTCCCTGAGTGGGGCAATCACAGAGCCCCAGCCCCTGCCCCTGCCCCCACAATCACCCTGCAGAGGGAGTCCCAGGCCACTGGACAGTGTGGCTATCAATAGGGGCTCTGTGATTGC